AAGCTAAGGGTCAGGTCTTGAACGGCTGCGGAAAGGTATGATTGCTGGGCTGTTGACTGGCAAGTGGCACTTATGCGATGCACTGATATACCGTAGACGCCGTAGAGGCTGGAGGCGTAACGTGTGAGCACGCAATTTCCGCCTCACTCCCTAACTCCTGGTGAGATGCTTTGGAGAAACAGCTAGGAAAGCCGCGCTCGGCGTTTGATTAACCTAAGGAAGTACCTCATGTGACCAGGCTGTACGTGGACAACTGCTTGCGATGCGAGGAAGGTCAGCTTGGTGACTCCCGCCCCCGTTGCCTCGCGGTTAATCACGTGACCACTCTGACAGCCGAGCGAAAAGCTGCTAGCGGGGTAACCAAGTGTGGGGCCGTTAGGGCAAGTGTCAGCCTTGCGTAGCCCGCGCTGCTTTCCGGTGCAATCGTAGAGGTCACTCCCTTGGCTCGGAGCCCTCGCTAAAGCAGTATAGCTGCTCTCTGTGCCTGCGCCCGCGCCATTTTGTAGCCAGGCTCAGCCACCTGCGAGCTGGTGTTTACTCTGACCTCATCTTCCCGATAAGCAGAAGTGGGAGGCGAGTTTGTAGGTCTCCTCTTTGGGTAAGGGTCCGAGACTCCATGGCGCGTCTGGTGTGAGGCCGACTGGTTGCTCGTCGGCATTTGAGCCTCGCCTAGGTGTGCGTGGGGCATTCAATCATCTGCGCGGAGCGAAGTTCCCGGAGTCGAAACTCCAAGAGCCCAGCCTCCTTCACATTTTCCTAAGTCGCGATGCGCTGAAGTTTGCTGAGATCCCACCGAGGCCTAAGCTTCCAGATTTCCTGTAGCTGTTGTTTCAGATGGGTGTCGAGGCGCCGAAGGGGCCCCAATAGTCGGCTGCCCAGTTCCACCACAACGGCTTTGTTCTGCCGGGGCCCCGTGCGTGAGTCAGGCTGTGGCTGCTCCCCGCCGATGCTGCGTTTGTTGGGTATGTGCGCCTTCTTCCTTGGTGTTGGATCGGATCGGGGAATCCTCGCCTCAGCTAATGGTGCACGAATAGGATGCTTCAGAGAACCTGGATGAGCATCCTCTTGATTCTTGAAAAAATCTTATCTACAAACGTAAGTGCTTTGCGATCCTGATTGGGCTGTCCTTGTGGTTACGCCCTTTCGGCGGGTGTCAATTAATCTTCTTCGGAGAAAAGGCGGATTCAATCCACAGCATGATCAGCGGTGCAATCAACCTGTGTGGCAGCCGCCTGATCTCTGCAGTTCACGAGGCTTTGTGATGATGAAGACATAAGCCTCTGGTTTGAACGAGTCAATACCAGCAGCCGTCTTGGAGCATCCTTCACTCGTCAGGAAGCACCACTGGTACAGACTGCTTAAGTCTCGCCAAGGCGGCGGTAGGGTGCCTGGCGAAAGTGTCGCAAGTGCTTGAGGGCCAAGTTGATTGGATGCACCGAGTGTGGGACCCACCAACGTGGGCCCACTGCGTGATGACTTCCCCACGCACTTGAATCCGCTAGAACAATGAGATGCGTGCTGACTTCCCTTTGTCACTTATGTCAGATATAGCAAATATAGTTGGATGGGTATTATGATAAGTCCGATGAATTCGCATCGATTGGAGAGCTGTGATCCAGAATATTTCTGATATTAGATGGATTGAAATGCTTTGTTTATTGACAGCAAAGAAGATTATTTTCAATCGTGATTGATCAGTTCTTATTTGCGTCAACAAGGTTTGTGAAATGTCGGTACAACAAAATTGCTAACAAAAACATTTTCCATCAACAAGGTTTGTCAAGCAAAACAACCCGTGTGCTTGACATGTCATTCGTGTAGCCTTTCAACTGGGAGTGTGGTGGGTACCCCCATTTGTTTGAAGCACCGACAACATCTTTCAATTTTTCCCGCCTACCCCCCTTGTAGAAAGTGTGCCGCCAGCCGAGACCACGGCAGAGCAGTAAGTGCGTGCATGCCAAGTTGATTGGACCCACCAACGTGGGCCCACTGCATGATGACTTCCCCATGCGTTTGAATCCGCTAGAAAACAATGAGATGCGTGCTGACTTCCCTTTGTCACTTATGTCAGATATATTGCTAATATAGTCAGATGGGTATTATGCTTGATAATGTTGGTGTACAAATATGATGGATCGAACGTACGTTTGATGAGTCCGATGATAATTCGCATCATTTGGAGAGCTGTGATCCAGAATACTTCTGATACTAGATGGATTGAAATGCTTCGTTTGTTGACAGCAAATCATAGCCGTCGAAGTGTTTTTCGCAACCAAGACAACGTGAGTACAGGTTTACACGGGAAGATTGCAGCCACAGTGCTAGAGTTTACACCTGTGGATTGGAGGACCTTTGTCGGAATGATGGCCTGCGCTTGCAGGATCAAGATTCAAGCTTGATGTCAGGTGAACGGGAAGTAACCACGTTTCTGTTGTACCAGGCCAAAATTGATTCCGGAGTAATCTGGGAGCTGATTTCCAGTGTGACCTTGTTCGGATCCATTGTTCCGATTTTTGTGACAATCTGCGTTGAAACGTGCATTGCTTATTGGATGACAACTCGGCGTGGCATGCTAGCAAGGGAGCTGCAAACTCTCACCACGCAGTGCAGGAGGCGGCTTGCAAGACTACATTGGGAGATGACCATTGACAACATCCTTGATGATTTGAATTCACAGCATCAAAGAAATTTGCGTCGTGTGCTTTTCGCGTTGCGGACAGGTTGGGCTCTTCCTATCACGGACAGGGATGCAGCTATGCTACAGTCAGTCTCTTGGGCAATCTAGATATTGCCCAGCCAGACATGGATACTGGCCATTTTTCAACTGGAATTTGCAGCTATGAGAGGATACTTTCTGGATCCAACCACTGTTCAGCTGATGCAACCAGTTGTATCTGTACACCCTCAAGGCTACATCAAGACTATTGGAAGGACGGTACAAGCGTTCTTTTCTGCTCAGACTAGCCTTCAAATGGAGACAGTTGGAAGTGGAAGGGAGAGCGCTTTAAAACCATGGGCAACGCTATTCCCATCTTTAGTTGAAGGGAAGTTGGTGAAATGTCCACTTTTCAGTCACTGGGACAAGTATGCTTGACTTGCACAAAGGCAACACTATCTCCAAGTTTTACGGAGACGTTGGTGCTCTGCCATGTAGTTGTACAGTTGCTTTTGTTCTGGTCACTGCTGCATTTCGATGCGGGTGATTGATTATTGCTGTTTTACGGAACGAGTAACTTAATTTGTTTGGTAGTTTTTGCATGTTTTTCTCATTGCAGATGTGCAATGGCACAGCTGCTACATGTAGCCAGACTTTGTCTGTCCTTAAGCCCCGCAAGGCCTCAGACCTCTGTTGCTGCGTTTGGAAATGGAAAAAAATGTTGCAATGGGCTCCAGCAATGACGTGTGTGGATAGGTCCGTTTTGTCTCACATGCTTTCTCATTGTCTGACTTCTGAATGGTCAGCCTGCGTGAAGTTTCAATGATCGCCGATTGGTAGCGCAGGGAAAGCCCATTTTTGGAATCGAGAGATTGACGAGGTGGAGTTGATGAGCCTTGAAGTGTAGGCTACGCGGTGCCAAGTCCGTTGGACGCTGAACATTGACCCGCCGCAACAGACATTGCATCAATGCAATTGAATTGATATGCTTCAAGATGATTACATCGGCCTGCAACGCATATCCCTTGCAGTTGTCAACAGCATTTGTAGCTTGATTTACATTGGCGCAGTTGCGCCCCATAGATTGTAGTTTATATACGTGATGTAGAGAGTTTGCTGGGCCGGATTCAACGCCGTTATGCTGGAAACCAAATATGAGCAAATCTACATTGATGACGCCTGCGTATGCTCCATGTGCATACCTTGTTACAGTCTACTAATGTACAAGTTCAATGCAGGCCCAATATACTTCTCCAATACCAGCGCGACGACATTTTCAGGAACCCAGGTACAGACAAAAGGACCATGATTGTGACGGTGACGGTGATGGTGGTAGCGGTAGTGGCGGCAGCAGGAATGGTGGTGGTGGTGGTGGTGGTGGGAGGCGGGAAGGTAAGGTGTTTGCGAGAAGAATTCGCATTAGCATTGAGCGGCGCAATTTCTGAATGGCAGCAAAACCGCTTCGGGTACGGACCATGAACCGAGCCCCAATGTTTAAGGCACCTTTCAGTTGGAGGCTTTGTGATCCAAAAGAGAAGTTTCACGCCGGCCCCAAGCCCACCCTAAGATTTTCATGAACTTAAGTCGCTAGACTGTAACGAGTCCTAAGCCCTAAATGCTAAGCCTCGTAAAATTCAAGCCTGACGTTCGAGACTTAAGTGGATGGACGGATTGGTTATGTGTTGTGGGGGCCCAGAGTTATAACACCACAATTTAACATGAAGTGGCTACCAAGATTTTGAAAGGATCATTTTTGGCAACTTGCTGCGTTTGGTCCCGGCTAGGAAAATAAAGAAGCGCATGTAATCCCGCCTGTCAACATAGGGCGCATCCGTTTGGAACAATCGTGTGGTCTGACTGTTATGAATGAGTTACCTACATTGTTGATGTCTGCTTATTTGAGCTCCTCATAGGTTATAAAGACCAAAAACTCCGGGTATGTTGAACCCATCCCTTGGCTCATTGCCGCCATTGCCAATTGAACTCTTCTTTCAGGTCATCACGAATTTATCGGAAGGGAGTTACCTTGTTTTCTCGCACGCAACGAAACGCCATGACTTGATTTTCATGCATCCTCTGTGCACTTGGTATCTGCATTTTGGCATGTGCCTTATGGTCCAAGCGCACGTCACAAAACATACAATCCTAGAATACATTGGGATGATGGCACGCTGCTTACTGGTAGCATCCGCGGTCGTTGCTGCAGTTGCAATCTTCTTGGCATATTCTCCTTCGTCAAGCTGCTATGCAAAGTCCATACATTAAAGCTTTACAGTTGTGTCTTTGTCATCGTGCCAACAATTACTTGTATGAACCATAAAGTGTTTGAAAGCCAGGTTGGCAGGAGGAACATTTCGCGGACAAAAACTTCCACTGGCCCGAGTCATTGCAATATGTCGACATTCCCGGTGCAGACGGGATGGCATTGAAAACGATAGTTGTTGGACCTCCCGCAGCTGAGAGCAAGGGTGTCATGCTTTTTTTGCATGGATTTCCTGAAACTGCCGCATCATGGAAAGGGTACATCTTGCACTATGCGGCAGAAGGATACCATGTTTTGGCGCCGGACACTCGCAACGTCAATAATAGTATTGGAGAGAATGCAGCTTTGACATTGGAGCTGCTGAGCGACGACGTGCTTGCCCTGTTAAAGTTTACAGGTCAAGAAAAGGTTGCAAAGCCTGCAAGTATTGTTTGTTGGGTTTTCATGCACCGGAACCGTTTAGAAACGTTCATTCTGAAGTCTTGGTGTGTTTCACTTTGGCTTCTGATGTTGAGCATCTGAACAAGGCTGTCGTGGTTGGCCATGACTGGGGGGCGATGATGTCTTGGATCTTCGCTCTGCGATACCCAGCGAGGACAAAAGCGCTCGTGGTTATGGCAGTCCCCCATCCAGAATTGTACCGTGCCTTGGAGGTTGTCAAAAAGTTTGAGCTTGCCATATCTGTATGTTTGTACCATGGAATATATGATGACCAGCGCAGAGGATAGACAGGGCAGCGGAGATTTCGAAGCCAGAGTCATGCCTGACCCAGGTGCCTACAATCTTGCGCGATTGCCGTTTTCCTTAAAGGATGTTTGGTATTTCCTGTTCTTTGGACTTGGGGGCCACATTGCGCGGTGGAGGGCCGCCAAGGATGATTTTGGATGGTTCATGTGGTTCACACTTGGTGCCTTGGACAAGGATTCAGAAGTTTTTGGAGGGCTGCCTGTGAGTTGAAGGTCTTCACATTTTGCCAAACCCCTCGAGGTTTGCTTCAGGCCGGTTGAGCTCAAGTAATTGCAGAACACGCAAAGTGTGCTGCGCTCAGGCTCCAGCGGGCCCAAGACCTACAGCAAAGCGGAGGTTGCCAGATTGAAGGAGGTGTATGCGCGAACAATTGTGTCAGACACACACAGTCCTTTGACCTCGTATTATTGGCTGGGCAATGTGTGGTTGCTGAAAAGCTTGCTACCGCCAGCAGTGCTTGGGCCTGGCACAGTCAACAGCATTTGGACAGATGGACAAAGCCCAAGTGCCGTGGAATGGTCAGCCTGAGTGTTAGGGGTTGTTCTAGAAATACATTCGGAGAGTGGAGGTTGCGTAATTAACCAGACGCTTGAATCCGTAAATGTCAGCTTTGCTAGGGCCAGGGTTTGGGTCCCAATCCTTTTGTACCCAACACAATGCTGGCATTTATCGTTTGTGGGCCCTGCCAAAGACTCAACAAAGCACTGAGAACGCAACCAGGTGTGGTTCCAACCTTGCAGCTCTATGGGTCTGGAGACCTGTATGTGTCCGCTGGAATGGTTGGGTGGTCCATGGACTCGGCATATGTTTCGCATCCCATGAAGCGAACTGTCATTTACGATTCTTAGCTGATGACTGTTTATGTCCTGCGTTGTTTCTTGCTTTGACTAAGAACTTCGAGTTATGTCGAATTGAGCGTGAATTTTCATTTCCCTTCTCACTGCTTGTTGGTTTTGTGTCACCTGTTGAGGACGCATCTCACTGGCTTAACATCGAAAAGTCGGCGGAGATTATGCAGGAGCACTGTTTTCAAAGAGCGGTTCTAGCTTAGTTGTAGTAGTTGCCTGTTGCCCAGCTGGCCTGTCAGAGCAACAGAGACATCCAGATGCACCCCTGCCAACAGCTTCAGGAAGTCGATGCCTTCATGCAAAGATTGCCACCAGCTTGAGGCTTGTTTCAGATCTTTGCTCAGCATGGGCTCTGAGATGATCACTCCATGCTCCGAAGGATGCTGGCAGTGCCTCAGATATAAAGATTGCTTAAACGTGTGGCTTGGGCCACTTTCTTGAGCTTGGGATACCCAAACACTTAAATGCGTGTCTTGGACCATGTTCTTGAGTCTCGGATACCCAAATCGCTTAAACGTGTGGCTTGGGCCACTTTCTCGAGAAGATGTTAGTTGCAGCAGCAGTCAAAAGTCTGTCGCAACAGGTTCTGACAATTGTTTCGCCACCAATCGCGGGGTTTTCAATCAACCACCAGTGTATTCAATCCCTACCAGTAAACATAGACAATGGTGAAACAACAGCTGCTGAAGCAGCAGGTCTAAATGCATGAATTCATGTTTGCATTCGCACCATTGCAAACTGTCTGCTACAATCTTCCTGACTTGCATTTGCAGAGCAGATTGCCCATGGACTGCAAATTCAATAGCTGCAGCTATATCCTGCGGCTGCTGCAGCTCCAGGGGGTGTGACATTTCCCCCCGCACCCTCATTCGGGTGCCTTGTCCTGACCTCAGATATGAGTGCAGCCGCTCTTAGCTTGATCCTGTCAGTCATACGTTGTCAGTGGACAAGATTGTTGCATGGCAGAGAATTCTAGGCCTCCAAGAGCAGCAATGCGGCGGCGTCAACTCATTCCAGGAATTGAGAGTTCTGCTTTGCAGGGTTCAGGTGCTTGACGCTGAATTTTGACAAGCAAGCATCTCGCCACAGGAGTACTGGCTGCATGCCTGGCCTTCGTGTCCGTGAGAACCTAAGTTCTGAAATCAGGGCTGCCAAAACCTAGCTTGCAGTGTAGAAACCTAAGTCAACTACCTGATATGTCACGGAAGGTTCTTAAGGGGCAGGGAATTCTTCAGGCTTTCTTTTCCGCAAGCCTCCCAAAGGTTCCCAGCATGTTCCTTCCTTGGACTACAATCCCGTGAATTGCGTTCAGGGTCCGAAGTCTTCTATGTAAATGGACCTTGCTGATGTTGCAATCTCCTGAGAAGCCAGGTTCGTAGTCTGTTTCTGGAGTCAGCCTTCGTGCAGGTGCCTCCCTCAGTGTTCACAAGGGTTTTGCACCAGGAGTATGCTGCTTTCTGCCTTTGAAGTGATTCCGCTCTGATGTAGTGCTTGGCGAACAGTGACCTTTTTGACGGGTAGTGTTGGGCCCCAAATTGCGGCGACATCGTAGAAAACATCAGGTATGGCCAGTATGGCCAGTATGGCATGAAAGCGTTGACACTGGGTTGCCAAGCTCATGCTTGCAGTCCAACTTAGACCACGGAGACGCTCAACAGGCTAACGCAGTCTTGTTACGCAAGCTAGATCACCTGTTTATCCTATTATGAACCGACCCTCTGCCTGCTGCATGGGACAAGCTCAGTCACAGTCTTTTCTTTGCTGTGCGAGCTGCCATGGATGCCACGCGTGCATTGTTGGACTCCCTGATGGGCAAGGACAGTCAAAGACATGCGAAAGATGCAGTTGCAGCAGTACTCACTATTGCAAGCACAGCCACGCAGCATGTGCTTTGGATGTAGTTCCGGCTGCGACTGATTCCAGTGTCCTCGTGCCACTGCCCGTTCCTGTTCCGATACTTCTCAGGAATTTGTCAAACGGTCAGTATCAGCATGTCTGATTGCGCATATTGCTGACCTGTAAGCATTTCCTCAACTCGGATATGTACTTACAATCTCTGTCGCAGTTGTGACTGTTGATTGTGTCACATTGTTCGTTGACGGCACCAGGACCGGAATTCAGCTCCAGATGCCAAAGACCGACAAAGCTTCAAGGTGCGCGTTGCGCAAGATCTAGCCATGCTTCTGACATGCATCCTGAAAGCACAGACGGAAGTAAGCGGCTGCACCATGCGCTAAACGGTTTGTTGAAGGGTTGATGTTCTCCATGTGTCAGCAATGTAGTTGGCAGATGCGGTCTTGATCAGGATCCGGATGTCTGCAAGCACTACTTGGTGGGCGACTGTCCGCATGAAATGTGGGTGAACCAGGCCGAACCAGGCTGCAAGGCGTTTTTGACGTTGCCCCAGCCTAGCCTGGGATTTTTGTCAGGAGGGCAAAGCTTCCCCAAACAGCCCCGTGGGTGCTTGCAAGAAACAACACTCCGAGGCGCATGTAGGGTCCTTGTAGCTAACAGGGTGAGCACCTGACAGTTTTTGTCGCCAGGCGATGCGTGTTCGACTAAGAGATGACAAGGACTATGTGCTGCCCTCTGCATACATTTTTCGCCACACTTCTGTTTGAAGCTACCGTTTGACTTTCACAGCACAAGACTTGGGCCTCGGGCATCTGTGAGCCAAGGTAACGTACAGGTGGCGCTACCTGGAAGACTTGAGTGAGCTGGCGGCGTTTGGGTGCTTTTCGAAACCGGAGGGGCAATGGAGGGCGCCGGTGTTCACAGAGGGCAGCCTGGTCATGAAGCCACTGTATGAATTAGCTCAGGAGCCATCTTGCAAAAGCTAGTCGATGAGAACAACAAAAAGGCTCAGAAGGTGTGTCCTGACGGCCAGTTGAACAGTCAGGTTATGCCCAAAGTGCAGGTGCAGAGGGATAGGTGACAAATTATAGACTTAGAGATTCCATCCCTCTTGCGCAAGGAAGGAAAAGCTCAATGAAGGAGTCACATGCACAGCTGACACTCACAAGGCGGTGGAAGGCCGCTGAACCATTGGTGACATGTGCTTCTTCTCCACCTTCAAGTCTGAATTGCAACTGCAGCCTGACAGGAAAGTTGTCTGCCAAAGAAACCTTAGCCCAAGAGATCATTGAGGCAGCAGAGAAGATGGCGGAGGCACGCCATGGCTTCGGCTCGTCAATACCCTGGCCCTAGCCTTTGTTCCTAACAACACGAGGAGGGCAAGGTGGATGCCAGTAAGCAGAAGCTCGAAGAGGCAGATCCGGCCTCAGCAAAACTTCTGATGCGAGTGTTCCTCATCAGCAGAATGACAGTGAAGCGGCTCCAGTTCTCAAGGACAAGCTGGCACACCAGAAGTTTCGCCTAACACGGCTCAAGGACAAGAGTACTTGCACCTCACGATTCACTGTGGTGTGCTCCCCTGCAGAAAGAGAGCTGCCCTGCTGCAGAGGAGGTGGCTGATGGCTGGATGGACGAGCCTGGGGTGAAGGTTGTGGTCTGGGTTTGAAGTGCTTTTTCCTTGGAACTTACATTCCGGACTGATCGGCACATCTGTACACAACGGAACACAAGAGCAGCAGAGAAGTGAGCGCTGCATTCTTCAAGGCGGCTTGCAAAAATGCATATACACTTTTTTATCCTTGCCTGATGTTTCCTAAGTGAAGCCTCCCAGGAATGCTGTGATGTGTGTGGCTCGCAGATATCCTGGCGTGCTGTCGAGGAGCTGGAGGCATGGCAGAGATGTAAGATGTCGCCTGCATGCAAGCTTGGCCGAGGGTGTTCAGTTCTGACTGTTGCAGGCACGGTCCAAAGGACGAGACCATCCCCATGTTCCTGGTGCCTGGCATCAGGCGTTCCATATTTGCAGTGATATGTCGGAGCTTTTTTTCAGCTGGGAATTTGCAGCAGCAAAGATGAAGATGGGAGAAAAGACTTTTGATTTTGGCTCGCCCTTCGCCTGCACAAGCCAGGGTTGGAAACGTTGTCGTGAAGCGCTTCGGAAGGTGACTGAGGAGGCCCAGCAGGCATCCCGGAGTGCTCTCCATGAGGTTCTTGCGCTTGACGTGCCAGGCTGATGGGAAGTTGTAGAGTGGTAGAGCAGCAATGTTTGGTTGAGAGTCGAGGAGGGGCCAGCGGAGGGCGGCCACCACAACCCGAAGCCCCATATCATGCTCCATACCATAAGCTTAAGCAAGCCATGATTTTGGAAAAGCAGACAATCCTTTATTACAACCAGGTACTTATATCAGGCCTAGACATTTCATGGTGTCAAAGTTGTGGCATGGACCGTGTTTTGTTAGGATGCTGCAGGCTCAGTGTTGTTACACGCGGCAGGGAACCTGCTCAAACAAGAAATTGCGCAGATCCCACTATCAGAAGTTCGAGAATGCCGTACAAGAGTGATCCATTTTCGGCCCTAGACAACCCCTACTTATGACCCCCTGAATTCGCATCCCACACTTGGAGGTGCAGGGGACTTGCATACAATCCCCCTTATGTGACGCAAAGGATTCAGGGTTGGGGGTTTGACTCTTGGTGCAAACTGTTCTAAGACTCAGGACTAAGGGCTGCAGGTTCAGGTTGTAGGGACAAAATTGTGTGTTGTGTGCAGGCAATAATCTGAAGAACGAAGGAATGTGCGCTCTTCAGGGGGATTAGTGTGGGGGCAGGCGGTGGCGGGGCTGGATGAGGGTTTGCGGGTTTGGAGTTGTCCCAATTTCGGTCTTCTTCCAAGTTCGAGCCCGGCATGCGCTCAAACGGATTGAGACAGGCTAAAGAGGCTTGCCGTGGCCTCGATGTCGGCGTGGCGCTTGACGGTGACGAGGCTCAAAATGGAGGCACGCCATGCCATGCTGTCACATGCCTCTTGCAGTTTCTTCATGATACGCTGCAAGTCCCTCCGGATCACATGGCAGGCTTGCATGCAAAGGACGTGCAGGTCAGGTGTTTCCAAGTTTGAAAGAACGTTCGGATTTTTTGACATTTTCTTTTGGCCTGAAGCGTGGATGCGGCCGTGGGAAAGATGTCGCATTTCATACCGGGGCTACAGTCATGAACTATCCACGGCACGTTTTCTGCAATAAAGCACACCTTGTTTCGAAAGAACTACGCCATCTGAAATCGTGTATAAACCAAAGCAAAACGCACAACATCGCACACTGACATTTGCTTGCAGAAATACTTAAGTAAGCTAAGCATTGCGAGCAATTTCCGCAGATGTCGATGTCCAAAAAGCCAGTGTGTTTAGTCACATTGCAATAAAGCGTGACACACCTTTGACGGCCGTGGCACCCAAAAAGACAAACAACTTGTGGAAACGATTGAAACACCCCGGGACCTTGGGAAAATACAGTTTCTCCCGAGCGCGGCCATTTGAGACCACACGACACGTTTTCCGCAATTTCCGACCCCCTGCTTCGCAACCATGAAATCGTGTTGGCGTGCAAAAAACAGTGCGTTTAGTCGATTGCAAAACAAATTGACAACCCTTTGACAGCCTGCGTTTGCGCAATATGCCTGTTTGACTTGTGACTTCGTTTAGTTGTTTGCGCGTTCGGCAGGTCGTGGCAAAGACCGCGACCGAGGACGAGAGAAAGCCAAGGACAGCGGCAGCGAATCTGAGAGTTGCTAGGTATTCTCACAAGACTGAATGGAGTTTCTGAAGCTGACCGCCCCGTCCGATGCAGGCAAATCGCAAGTCGGGGAGCTCTTCTGGAGCACGGAAGATGCTCGGCTACGGGCACCGGGCACAGGTCTTTACAGGAACGCCAAAGTCACGGTCTTCATTCTCGATGTGCAACTGCTCCTTCACAATTTTCAACTAGATTTAATCAAATTTCATGTTCAGGGCTGGACGAGACTACTCTTTGACATCACGCAGTCGTTGTCTCTTGCATCTCTCTTATGTCAACCATCCCCGGAAAAAAGAAAAAAAAGAAGAAAAGATCTTGAACAAAGCCCTCAGTTCTCAAAAGGCCGAGTTATGTTCTGCCGCGGCTTGTACTGAAAAGGATTATTTTGCAGTCTCTGTTAGAGCAGCCACACATCAATCTTCAAGTCAAATTCCCACTCCCGGTGATGTGGGGATGACGGTGCCTTCGGGTGAATAGCACGGATGGGCCTGCCTAGGAAACTCTTTGCGCGACGTTCGGAACGTGTCAATGTTCACAGGCTCCCTTCGAGACATACAAAACCAGCAACAAATGAGTTCTCACATATTGGAAGCTTTCCTAGCTAGCTTCAGTACCAAAGCTGTATGCTCAGAGTGTGCCACTTTACTGGGCAAAAAAAAGCTTGCTGGAAACGATCTTCATCAGCCGAAGCCACTCTTGTGGACCGAGGAGGAAGGATCGTTCCCGGAGAAGCGAGAGGAGAAAGCGCTCCTCTGAAAGCTCACGAAGACACAAGCGCAAACGCAGCCCTTCCAGAAAAGGAAAGAAGCATCTTGGCTGCAAGAGAAAAGCAACACCGTTGGAAGTACCAAGCGGGTGGGTCTTGAACTGAGGCGAAGGAGAAGCCGAAGCAGATGAGCTGCCAGCTACCTGGTGTTACTGATTTCAGATTAGGTGGTACCTTCCCCATGTTAAAGTTGCGATTGGTTTCCTGCCCATATGCCGAGGTTGCATCGCTGAAGCCGTGAGAAAAAGGGCCGATGGTCGAGTGCAGTCGTGCTTTTTTGTTGGACAGTAGGGGACTTTTAAAGCTGCTTTTCTTCTTATGCGTGTAGTGCGTGTGCACTGCTTTTTTGCTGGTTTGGCTCAAAGTTTTCCCCCGGACATTTGTGGTCAGTTTGAGGCCAGCTTGAATTCCATGCAGTGTGTATCAGCAAGGGCAGTGGTGGAGCTCGTGAGGACCAACACAGTCGCTCAGAAAACTGAAGCCTGAAATTTAGCTTGCACATGTAGTTCGGCTATGCTGAGATTTGTTGAAAGTGCTCGGAAACGGAGCTCACTTGTGGAGCAGGCTGTGGCCAACATGGATTTGGGGGTGTCGCTTGGCCACATTGGCCCCAGACCTTCAACTTTCGCGGTATGTTTTGGCACAACTGCCGCGCAATGTCCGTTTGCGGAATGACAGGGCTCGGCTGCAGATTTGGAGGCTTTGAATAGAAGAGAATTAGATGCCATAGTTTGCAAAGGCACCCATGACATTGCGGAACTGTAGCAATCCTCATTTCAAGCTCAACCAGAAAGATATTCTGGGGCCTTTTGCATAGCAGTGACTTAGGCATTACTACAACGCAAACCAGAGCCACTTGAGCGGCGCGAATCAGTACGAGGCGCGATGCACACACTGGCAAGCATATTGCAAGCATGTCTTCCCTTCAGAGTTTCTGTCAAATCGAAGACAATTTGTTAGAGTGAACCTACGCCACAGGAACATTGACATGCAAGCACAAGAGGCAATCACACGGTCTCAATGCTACGCAGGCTGCCCATTTGACAGACCCGATGGAGAAGGTACCTTGGCCAGACTTGGTCTGTGTGTGTTGGATGAGGCCGTGCATCTTTGGCGGAACGCTTTTGTCACAGCAAGCCAAGAAGTTAAGACATCTTTTCACATCAGGAAGACAGAGGCCGAAGATTGCATGAAAAGCAAATCTTTCTCCGATGGCCCTGAGGTCAAGCCTATGGCGTTTCTGCCGTCACCAGGTCCTATAGTAGACTTGGGAGACAGGCTGCAGGCAGGGTTACACAGATCCGCAACGCACGTTTTGCACAACATGGGTTCTGACTGCAAGGCCGTCCCCCTACCACCTGGGACTGCAGCTGGAGGGGCCTCATTGCCCCTGCGTGAGCAGGCTTCGTTCGCCAACGATGCAATGGCTGCAACATGTTGTCAACGTTGTTCTGCCAGGTATATGCAAGGCCGTGCAACGGCATACAGTTTGCTCAGGCAGCGACACCACTCTCAACTTCTGAGTTGAGCGCCCCCTATGGTTGTGGAAGGCTCAATTCCAGAACTCGAATAACTTCTGGACTGGGGACACTAGCCCACAGGCCCGTGGGCCTTGTGCATAGGGGTGAGGTGTTTGCAACACTTCAATGATGTTCGCAGCTTGACAGGCTTTGCTGCCAAATCAGTTTCGACAAGCCGATGGGCAGGTTGGCTTTGTAGGTTGCAGATCATGCAGCTCACGCAACTTTCAGATGTCAGTCCCAGCACTAGTGCCAACACAACTTCGCCAGCGAGAAGAAATGTCCTTATCAGGCCATTCTGACACCCGTCGGGCAGAACTTCGGCCAGCAGGACGGGCGCAATTGCAGTGCGCGCAAGAACGTTGAGGTCCATGTCGTGCTTCCATGGCCAGGATAACCAGGCAATGTCTCCAAACTGGCAGCCGCACAAGGCTGGGGATAGAGATGAGCATGTCCCCAGAGTTCATCCAACCAAAGTTTGGTACCATTGATGTTTAATTTTTTCCCACTGATCCGATGATTTTATCTGCCGAGTCACACTGTCAGGTCTACCTGCCTCAGGGTCTAGCATCCTTCGTTGTAGTGGGCGAGGCGTCCCAGGATGGGGGATGTTGTGCTGCAGGGTTGCTTCTTAAATTTGCATGTCTCCTAGACGCTTCGGCAGGAAAACGGGATGGCGAGCCCGAACTCTCAGAGTTCTCCGATCCACGTGCAGGCCAGGTCAAGCAGGATGCGGATGGCTGCAGAATGTTTCGAGAGTTGCTGCTGCTATACATAACCAGTCTTGTACATCGATGTTACAAAATGATAATGTAAAGCACTTGTCACTCTCAGGCAATCCCGCTGCCAATGGGAGCACAGATGCAGCGCGACTGCCAGGCTGTTCAAGAACTTGGCCGGCGCTAAGCATCAAGCGCACATTTCAGCTCTAAGGGGGCTTGGACTGGATTTGGGAGGGGTCGCTTCTCATGCGTGGAATGCTTGTAGAAGAAGGACCTGGAGGTTTTTTAAGGGGCAGCCTAGTGGATAGCAAGGCAACATGAACTGGCCTGCAGGCGATACCACTAGCTCCAGCGGGAGTTCCTATGCAGAGAGACGCGCAGGCAGATGACATCATGCCAACATCAGTGATGAGAGCAAGAATGTTAGACTGGACATAGGGCGAAAGCCAAGCACGGATCGCGCACAGACTCGTTTTAGGTTCGCCTGGCAAGACCTTCATGTTGATGCACGACCTGGCGTGTGACATGTTAACTTTGCAAGTCTGGTTTTCTGCGTAATTTCTGGTTTGTCAGGCGTACCCTTTCACAGCACCTGGTGCACCGGTGATGCCGATGAGGGATTTCCAGGCATTTTCTAGCACCCACAATCACAAGCAGCCCTGGTCATTCGTGGCGACCTGTTGAGGCAGTCCCCATGCAGGGGCCCTTGCATGCAAGGCCAATGCCGCAAGAGGCCAAGGCCTGCGCGATCCGGAACACCCAGTCAAAACCGAAGCTTTGCCAATCTATTTCAGGCTTTCGTTGTTGCGCATCCCGGCCCCAACGCAACGCCTTTACAGCATGAGTGGCAGGCTGGGCTCTCTTTGCGCACCAAGTTCTTGTTCTGCTTGTGACGCTCGTTGCGGAAAGGCCTATCCCATGGAGTCGTCGAGTTCAAGCCCTTCCAGTATGCAGAATGAGAACCAGGACTTGATGAGCTCTGTGTGCAGGGTGTGTTCTTCGCTAGCAATCTAGAAGCCCTTCCTGCTGCAGAAGATTGACGTGGAATGATAAGGGCGGTTTGCGGCTTCCTGCGACAGGCATACATGCAGGGTCCACAACGCCCAGCGAGCCAGATGCCTTTGGAGACTTTCGAGGGCCAGGCGCGTTGCATTGTGAAAGATGCCTCAGCCGCATAAACCACAGGCAAAACACACACAGCCATTCTGACGATGCTGAGCATGTCTGAGCAAGTGCTCAGCATTTAAGTGGAACTTTGACTCTGGACAGGTGACTACTCCTGTGCCACCTGGAGTGCCTAGCGAAGGCCGCCCAGAAGGGTACCGCGGATCATGTAAAACTAAAAACTGTGCCTGGCTCCAGTTTGTTCCCCAAGCTGCAGGTAGCATTGGGCATCCTGAGCTGTGCAGGCCTGGAAGCCTCCTCATGATGATTGTGTCCGGTGTTGGCAAAACACGACTATGTGCTTTTTGGCAGGCGTCCGTGCTTCTATTTCGCCAGAAGCTTAACACGAGAAGACACCAAAATTGAAGAGAGCCGGATCAATTGCTCTAGGTTGCAACGCTTCTGAACTTCAGGCGAAGGGCTGCTGTACCAATGGGCTCGACTGTGGCTACTGTCACGCACAGCACGGCGAGAAGGCATTTTGCTTGCTTGACATGCGCAAAACAAAGTTTGTTTACATCGTCGAGGGGATTGTTTTTCCATCTTGGAACAGCTCCGAGGAGAGAGAGTTGTCTTGGCTGCACCGGGAGCTAAGTTTGTAATCGCAGGCGCCGAAGCTGGACAAGCGCCAGCGCATGGTGCTCCAGTCACTCCCGGAGAACATGCTGTTGGAGATGTTGATGAGCCATGTGCAGGAGCGACAATAACGGTAGATTTCATGTCTTGCGGGCCAGTTGATGATCCTGTCACACGTCGCTAGCGCATGCCCAGGAGAAAGCAGAAGAGCATCTTGCCCGGCATTGCGACTGGATGTCTAGGTGGGTTTCACTGGCATCCTGCCAGTACTACTTTCAGCTGCGCAAATATCTTGCATGACTTCGTCAAGCTTCCCATGGAGAGTGGAGCCCAGGAAACGAATGACGTCAGCAATGGCCGACATCATGGATCTGTGGCAGAAGCTGCCCGGCAAAAGCAATTTGCAGACCTAGCCCCAACAGGAGCATGTCTCTCACACAGCGACTGGTCACAGGCGACTTGCGTACTTGGCCGTAAACCCGCCAGTGGTCTCAGCTGAGGAGCGCGGACTTGTCTTAAGTTCTGTTGCCAGGATGAGTGCCAAAAGAATCCTAAGTGGTGGCAAAGAGATGTTGAGCTGGTCTTTCTCAGGTAAGACTCCCTGTAGACAGCCTCAGCAAACAACAAGACATCTACCTGCTACACAGCAAAGCTTGTGAAGGATGCCGAGAATTTGGCAGAGAGGCCCTGACCTGAGTGGTCCGATGATTACCTTCGTATCCTTCACCCTGCACTGAAACCCCACGCTGCGCCTTGCTAGGTACAGCACTGCAGCTTGCACTCAAATATGCTTGAGTAAATAGTTGTTCTGCATGAAGCAACTACAGCACATTGTTTGAAATGTTGGAACTACACCGCTGGGGGAGGTTTCTGATTGCTTACGCTCCAGGTATGTACGAAACTTGGATAAGATCCTCCGCAGGACTGGGCACATGATCACGCATGAAGGAACTAGGTCGGTTGAAGCCTACTGGCATGCTGATGTTGATTTCAATCCGACTACTGAAGATGGAGTCATATGTATTCTCCAGATCTTCTCACCGGTGAGGATGAATATTTCCGAGCTGATCGAAGGGCCCTCAGCATGCACTTCCTGCATGCAGGTTTTTTCCGTGTTCCCGCGCTTGCAGTGGAGAAGTGATGATGGCTTCCTTCATGAGAAGTAGTCTCTCCAGAGAAGAGACCTGAGGCCTTGGCCATCCGCAGTGCCAAGGAGGAGCAAGGCTACGTCGGTGACCTGCGTGAGGCAAAGCGGTTGCGGTTTGAAGCGGGTTGAAGCGACTTTCATACTTTTTGAAAGTGAGAGACTGCCTGGACTTGCCAGGCCCTGTCCCGTTTGCGGACGAAGGTTCCGCCAAGTCTGTGAGGCAGGGCTCGTTAAGAAAGCCGCTTTCCGTATGTTTGTGTTTTTGAGCCGGATCAGTAGGCAGCAGAGGATGTGTGGTCTGAGTGATTCTAGAAGTGGAGCCAGGGCGGGCATCCCTTGAGATATCTTCAGATTTTTGTCAGGGAGCCTTTTTCTTGGCAAAGCTGGCACGTCAGGTGACAGCGACCAAGGGCGGGCAAGTATTATATGGCCGGACGCAATCCGTTGAATCAAGCAGCCGCAAGCAGGTAAGGACCGGGTCTTGGTGCGTAGCAAGCAGGATACCAATTTTGTTCTCCTAAGCCCTAGACATGCCCACAATTCTACAAAAATATTTGCATGAGCAACAAGAAGGGCAAGCCAACTGCCAGGGTGTCCAGTGGGCTCTGGTACAACACAACCTGTTGGTTAGATGACCAGGTTTTGATAGGTTTTGCATTTTTTGCTCCGGGTACGGCTCCTTTTGAGAACCCCAAGGAAGGCTGTTCAAAGGCAGCTTTTCCCTGAGGCAGAGGAAAACCAGCAAAACTGGCATCCTCCGCTTCGGCCAAGCCGTTTCTTAGATAGAAGTTCATTCTGAAAATTCTCCCCGCTGTCAGGGCTCTGGACCGACTTTGAGTAAGCAGAAGTCTCGGACCAGAGCTGTGTAAGGTACAAGTAACAGTAGTCTAAGCATTCTTTGTTTGCCCGGTTCGGGACGAGCTCTCTGCAGGAGAGCTGTGCAAAGGGCTCTGGCAGTTAAGGGCTTTTCGATGGCTGCGACGAGCACGAACGCAGCTTACGAGCGGGGAATCAGCAACTGCTCGAGCGACTTTGTCGCGAGTGAAAAGAAGATAAGGAAGATTGGACAGGTGCCGATCCCTTGCAGCTTCAGCTTGAGTTGCAAAGTTCTGGCCGGCTAGATGGCCAGAAGGTCCGATTGCATCGAGTCTCTTGATGCTGTGAATATGTGTCTGGCGACGAAAACGTCCTCAAGAAGTGTCGTATTCCATCTTTTTCCAACATGTCAAGCAGATTAACCAATCAGTTGGGTAAAAGGTCGTTTGCCAAGACAACTTTTAACCATGTACAGACTTGCATGAAGCCACAACTGAAGGGGAAGCTTCATGCAATTGCAGTTTTGAAGGATTCCAGGAAGCGCCTGCTTGACCTGCGTAGGCATGGTAAAGATTGGGCCGAGAGGCTCTGTAGCACACCAAACTCAATGCCGCGACCTGGGATTTTATGCTTGCCAGGTCGCGTTTATCACTTCGGTTGCGTCTCGAATGCAGTGGCAGCCCTGCGAGACGACGTGTGCTGCATGGTAGGCCCTAGATCTCTAGGACAGGATGCGGTAGAAGGAGAGACTCGTGAGGCAACACAACGCACAGCACAGATTCAGCCTCAAGCTTGGAGCCTTTAGCGAGTCTTTTGTTTAAGGAAGCTTGGAATTAAGTGCATGCGAGACATGCTGTGCAGACATGTATAGGCCTCAACTGTTTGACAGGACCTCAGCGCGCGAATCCAAAACAGGTGTGTGCTGTCATGCAGGCAGTTCATGGTAGCACCTGTGCAGGACAGTTTGCCATTCGCAGAGGAGTTTTTGGTGGAGCTGGCTCTCAGATGTCCTTGGGTCTTTGTTTGCCTCGCTGAAGGCACCAGCTGGCCACGGCTCTGTAGCTCCACGCCGGGCTGCTGCACCCAGGAGCTCTGCAGAAGTTGGATGCCGGAGATCCAGGGTAGACCTTCAAGCTAAGCTCTGATGCTAACAGAGCAATTCTGGGCATTTTCTTAGCCGCTCTTGAGTTCCGCAACCTACCACTTCCTCACATGTTGAAATTCCACCAAACACGTTCAACATGTTTCCCAGGGATCAGCGCGCCCCGCAATCCTAACCCACCCTACCCCCTACACAGAAAGAATTATTAGTTGCAGCTCCAGGGGGTAAGCTTTTGCAAAGCTGGGAGGAGACTACCAGCTCTTCCTATTAGCAACGATTCTATCAGATAAGCATTGCGCTTTTGATGTTCGTCCTTCCCTCCCACCAGGAAAACCTTTGCAGCCAGAGCGTTAAGGCCTGGGTTTGTACTGCCAGTCGGCATGAAACGCAACCAAGTACCTCAGTAATGTGCAGAAGCTGCAACAGTGCAATGCAGAGGTCATGATAGAGTGACTACATGTCGAGGACTGCAGCAACCACAAGTGCCACGAGTGCTCCGCTGACAAGTGCAGCTTTGGCCTGGCTCTCATCTTCTCAGTTCCTGGACCAGTGTCCAAGTTTTGTAGGTGACGAAATCAAGTAGCCTTCCAATTCCAAGGTGTGCATTGCTGGTGTGACTGCGGCCCTGAGTCTGCGCCCCACACCCTTGTCTTCAGATTTTGCGTTAAGACTCTGCAACCTGGCAGCTCTGCACATTCGCGACAATGTGTTTGCTGGCAGCATTTTTTGATGTGATCACGTGCCAAGCCTTGCTCGTTTCAGAGCTGCTAGGTGTGCGCACACGTCAAGCTGCCTTGTTTGGGGAGTCGCGTTGTGTGCTGGGTTTTTGACTGTTGCCCCCAAAACATCACTCTTCAAGGACCATATCGGATCTGTACCTACCTGTTGGACGGACAGCCAGGTGCCACGGCCTCTCCTGTAGTGACACAGGCCTTCGACACAGCCCTGGCCATTTCCCTTGCTTTTACACTTCAGAGTCTTTTGCAGGCCCTTGGTGATGCGGGTGCTGCACTTCCGCCAGCAGCCACAACCTTCGCGGGTGCCTCTGTGGCCGCCATCTCCGCAACCTCAGGCGGTGCTGGCTGCATCGAGCAGCTGGGCTTATGAGCCTCATGCGTGAAAGGCGCTGAAGACAGCTCAGAATCAAAGACGAAGCGCCGCATGCTCATGCCCAAGGACTGCAGCGCCCTAACCTGGCTCATACCAATCCTGCTGCTAGTACCTGAGTGACAGAGAGAGTTGACTGAGCTTTTCCTGCAGAACATCAAATGGCGAAAGCCGCACAAGCCTCCTGTGAAGCCTTGGGACACCAACAGGCTCGTTGAATTTGTGACGGGACCAATGATCAGATAGCATTTTCTTTGAGCGCGTGAAGGTGGAAGTACAAAGGCGAGGCATGGAGGCGCGTGTGAAACCACAGGATGCCTGCAGCTGGCACTTCAACTTCATGCCGTCTCCTGCCAGGGGTAACAAGCCCTACTTCGGCAAGTACGCATTGCAGATCTTGGAGGAGGCAAGCTCGTCCGTTTGTCTGCCTGCACTTTTGGGCTTCTCCAACTATTACGAAGCAGAGCATCTGAGGAAGCATCATTGGTCATGTAGTGTTGCTGAGATTCAGGCGTGGATCAATGCTCCGAACATCGAGGCTTGCCGTCGAATGATGGTGAACAGCTCAGGTATGGCTGCAGCTGTGAAAGACTGTAACTGCATGGTTGGGCAGGAAGTACATCGCAGCTGGACATTGGTGAGCATTGGGTGTTCTGCTTTCCGATATGATGTCAGCGACAGACAGCATGCGAACAAGTTAGCCATAGTCTAAACCATCCAAACAGAGATGATCATCAGGTGCACTGTGCAGGTGTTCCTGAGGAAATGTTTGTGCCCAACCTTTGCAAGGTAAGAACCCTGCGAAAAGACGGTGGTAAAGTGTGGCTGAGATGCTTTCCCCATTCTGCTCCAGTCTCAGTGAGCATTGCTTGCTGTACAGGACCAAAAGGGGCTTCGGAGCAAGTCAGTCCGCATCAGGTGTTTGAAGTACAGCTCTTCCTAGGCCATTACGTGGCGTGGAAAAGAGACACGAATGGGTGGCGGTAAGGGTACCATCCAGCCCAGAACTTGGTCGTGTGTCTCACTTCAGCCTCGCGCAGCATTCCAAATGCGCTGCAGTTAGAATGCTGTTCCTTTTCGGTCTTTGGCCTCTTGGCCTGGCAGCTCAGGTACTGGGTTCAGTCAGTCCGTCCAGGATACATCCTTTTCGAGGTGGACGGCTGCAGCGAGGCCCAGGGCCCCAGTACTGTCCTAGCTACTGCAGGAGTGCTTGCAGTGTGGCAGCTGCTGCTGACACTGGAGAGACCCGGAAGAAAGCCTCGTTTTCAAGTTGCCTTACCGATTTTGACGTATGATGCAATCACTCTTCCTCGAGTTTGTTGCCCGGTGGCATGCGGGGCTTAGGCACCCTGTCTAGCCCCAACTTGCTTCAGTTTTCGTTCTTGCATGCACCGATGCCAATGGCAGGAAACCGCACGTCGAGCCTTCCACTACATGATCAAGTATCTGCCTTTCAAGGCCCATGGGACATGCCAGGAACTCCAGACAATATCCCGTGCCGTTGTACCTGGGCTGGTGCACCATGCTGCACCAGCACCATGTTTGCAATGTCAAGGATTTTGTACAGTCTAGGATAATCACCCATGCTTTTGGGACATGGTTCGAGGTGTTTTCTGGGCTCAGTCTTCGTTGCTCCGGATTCAGGCTGTAAGCAGCAATTGTGGATTTTGCCCTTGCCTCTCAGACCAAGTTCCTCATCAAGGAGGGCCCCTCGCGCTTCGAACTCGGCCTTGCAGGCACACGGCGGTGTTCCTACATTCTGGGCTCTGCCTGAGTGTCACCTACCGCTTCCGGCCGCTTCCCCACACTCCCCCTAGCAGTTGGGCAAGGGAAAGGCGAAGCAGACACAGCCTAGGCGAACTGTATAACAAACAGAACTCTCCTCCAATCTTGATGTGGACGGGGACAGCTACTGCTAGAAAAGTTTCATAGGCTTTTTGCTGTGTGACCACTCCTATTATTCCCACTATAGCGAAAGCTGTCTGCTCAAACTTGAGCTGTAGCTTACTTTTTGAGCCCAGTTATGCTGGTCAGCACTTGACAACTTGGGGTGTGTGTGCGATCTCTGTCGACGTGTTGAGGTTTCAGCATTCCGTCTTGAGGGCAGCATGCAAGACTGGTGGGGGTCTCCTTGTGAAGCTAATCAAATTTATGGTTCATCTCCCACAATCCTTTCACAGCTTTGCATTAGTGCCCGTCGCCCGCAAGTCATTACAATGGCCAGGCAGCCTCAAGAGCAAGAAGCACATTCCCGAGGAATTCCGCAAGAAGTCTGACGACGATTAAGATTTTCGAGGGGGCATGCACGGCCTGCTGGACAACCTGAGTAAAAAGGTCCGTGTTTTGGAGGGTTTCAGGTTTTCAGGTTTGAGGTTTTTGGTCGTGGGCTTTGCACCTGGAGCAGTCAGTGTATCTTTGAAACATCGCTGACAAGCCTTTCTGGAGCTCGGGTGCATGCAGAGCCAGGCTCAACAGCATCTTTGAAGCTGATTACCACGCCATTGCCGAAAGTATTCGTTCATAGTGCATCAGCATAGCTACATGATTGCGTCTCAAACTTTCATCAGAGTGCACTTTTTACATTGAATTTTGGGCGAGCTTGAGTGCACAACGGCTTTGACCATGACGATGGAGGCGGAGCTGCTCCGTGTGCGTCTTTCATGTCAACCTAGTCACCTAGTCTAGCTCCACTTCCAAAGCAGGGACTTGACTTCGCTGTCGCGTGTCTTTGCTATTCATGCGTCATGGAAGGGCGCTGTGGCTCGCCAGCATCGAGGCTGGAGAGTCTGTCTGAGCAGTCTTAACACGAAGCAGATGCACAATTTGCACATTGCCGGGCTTGAATACATGGGTTGCCATGGGCGTTCTGCATAGCTGCATGGTTTGACTGTAGTCCCCGAGAGCTGGCCCCAAAAGCCAGGAGGCCATACTCGACCAGCTGCCACCAATACCGTCCCAGCCACAGCTAGTTACTGAAGTTCTTGACATCGCCTTTTTGTCCATGAGACCTACTCCTGCATAGCACATGTACGACGAAGCTGGAGCTAGTAAGTAGGTTGGAAGCCTTGAGCCAAAACTGAGGCTGCAGCGCGATCTCCGCTGCGAGACTGTCGAGTTGCAGCCCCTGGGTGCGCCTGGGTCTGGGTGTAGAAGGGCTCGGAGTGCCTTTTTGATTCTATGTTTAAGCTTAAGGCTTACGATGCGGTGGTTTGTCAACAAAGCAAGCTTGGAGACATGTCTGTGTTCTCAGCAGCAGTATGCCTCAATGTGACAGGATGCTGATCCGCAGCCGTATTGGCAGCTTCTCGACAGCAGTCAGTTTGTGTGTAGGTAATGTGTTTGCTGACGGATTTGTCCATGCAGATTTGCTGGATGATGTGTGGAGGTTGACCATCTGCTGTAGCAATGCTGCGAGGTAATGGCCACAACATCACCTCCACAAGCTACGTCAGCAATGGCTACACACGGACAGGCCCGACGCTCAGTGATGTTTGGGGGTGGCTTCCTACCTTTCCTGAAAGGGCTAGCTAAAAGATGACCGAGGCACTGCCAACCCTGTGCATCGCCATCAAGGCCTGACAGAGCTCATGCTTTCTTGCCATGCGCGTCGTTGCCCCACCATCTTCTGCGCATTTTCGGAGTGGCAGGCCGTATCACGGCAGGCAAGCGATCACGACGTGGTGGCGAAGGTCAAGGCGGCAGACACATGGTCGTTCATGAGCAATTTGGAAGATGGTAGTTCCACTTAAGACCTTCTCATGTAAACCCAGGTCCCCCGCAGCACAAGATACTACTCTAGAAATCGCTACTGACAGCCTTTAGCAAATGTTGGCCAGCCACCTTCGCTGTGAGGCACCGTGGGAGCCCCTGCTCCTACTGGTGGCAGTGCACTGTTATCTGCTGGATTCTTACGGACAGAAGTATCAAGGTCTCTCAAGCTCAGTTTGTCACCTACAATGATATTTGTGCCTGCGTAAATATCCCAACTTCAAGTCAAGGTTCCTACTCCCATCCGGAGCACGAGTGCCCCGAGCCTTCCAGGCTTGTCCCTGAAGCTGAACGGTGCATCGTTGGGAGTTGTTGATGCTGTTAGCCTCACCTGCGGAGGTGAAGCACTGGTCTTCGAAGTGACGACCAAATCGCCTGAACCCAGGCCAGGAAGCTGTTTGGGTCCTATCCCCTCTTCAGGGGACTTAAGGAAGCCGTGTGTGGTGCTTGATTCTTGTTTATCTTTCGTGTGCACTTGCCTCAGGAAGGGTGCAGTCAGCCCACTGCAGCACACGGCAGCCTCTCCACAGCCTGTGGCACAGACAACACAACTGACCCAGCCAGTGCCAGCTCAGCCAGCTCAGCCAGCACCTCCTGCACCGCAGCCAGTGTCGCAGCCCCCGCCGGTACTGCCTCAGACGACGGAGGCTTGGGAGAGCTACAGTGCACACAGTAGTCCGGGGAGCATTTCAAGGCTATCTTTTCAAACTGCCGTGCATTCATATGCACAGGTGCCGACTGAACAGGGCATCGTGAATCACCTTCCTTGGTTGTCGGAGAAGCGCACCACGTCTCGCGGCTGAAATCGTGGAGTGTCTCCAATAGCACCATCCATGCATGTAAGGGTATACATTGAAGTTCCAGCCATTCCCATGTCGTCTGTTTTGAGGCTCCTGCAGCTCCTTGCTGAGTGGTCTCAGAGTCACCGTGTTCTTGATGACCTGACGGACCGACTTCGTCGTCTGGGCAGGGCTCACAGGGTAACAAGATGTCTTGGCAAAACCCACGTAGTGTGGGCAGCCGCAAAGAGGGAAAGTGAGCACTTCTTCGCCAGGCCGGGACCGACCCGCTGACCAGGGGCCTTGCGAGCTGGAGCCAGGGTCTCGAGACAGTTGTCTCCGATAGCGTTGCAGGTTTAGATTCTGATTAGCTGCATGATCTGCATGCACCCTTCAGCTGATTTTCGCTGCTTAGCCTTTGCTTGCGTTGGAGATATCCCACCAACAGTTGGGTGCAGCAGAATGCTGAGGACTGGACTCAGGCAGGTGATCGCCATGGTAAGTCCAAGCCTCGGGCGAGCTTCCACGATGATAATTGCTTGACCCCGCAACGAATAGCTGTTGCATGCGGCTGCACCGCTTTCATAGCAGCAGTCTTGTTGGAGCAGCCCCTGGCTCAATTTGATGTTCAAAAGGCATGCATGACAGCAAGCATTTCTCAACACAGCATCAGCTCAAGAGTTCGAGGTGCATTCCTGTCGTTACCTAATCTGTACTTGGACTGGTATGAGTACCGGTTTGGTGAGCTTGTTGTGAAACGCAGATGATTCAGCGATCTTCGGGTTAACAAGTCATCCAGTCATGCGCCCAAGCGGCATCTCGAAATGGAGCCGATCACTTCATAGCTCGAGGATGGACCTTGGTAAAGGGTCGGGGTCTTGTGGATGCGCGCTGTAGACCTGAGATTCAACTTGCAATTTCTAACTCAGAGCACCCAAACAAATTCTTCGTTGTCGTGGGGATCATGGTAGGTCTGAGCAGAAGGGAGGGCCTGTAATCAATTTGTTTCCGTTTTGAAAGAAGCTTCATGTTCCAGCCCAGCGGTTGAGGCGGCTGTCCCGTTTGAAGCCTTTGGACGCCTGGAAATGTGCTGCTGGCAAGCTGTCTGCACGGGGCTTTGCCGCTAGCAAAGCCGCTTCACTTGAAGAGACCCCATTTTGCGAAGGAGCATGTTGATTGCCCAAGTGATTGCGCATGATCAGTGTAGACATTTCACCTAACTGCAGCTCGATTTCTCGCGTTTGACGCCAGTAGACTCCATTGGTCACACTTGTGTCCTCAGCCAAGGATAGCGCTTGCTTTCTGCACAAGCGCCCGGCCGCTGGGCATGATTGCCGGACGTCAGCATTTTTTAACTGTTCTTTGTCAAGCAGCTGCGGTCAGAAGGTACGCTCTGTCAATTTCAGCTGCGACGGACAGCTGTTGTGCACATCCTCAGAGGTCTGCAGAATGTGTGTCGCAAGAGCATAACATGGGATGACGGGGGCCAACTTCTCATATCGGCTTAAACCAGAAGAGTGATCAGTGTGCATCTTGAAGAGGATGGTACAGCACGAGTATACGAGCTGGAGACAGGCCGCATGGTCAAGGATTGACATGCGCTCCGTTTGTGCCACATGGATTGTATTCAGACCTGGAAGCTGTCGGCAGGAGGTCGATCACGGAACCACAATCTGGTGGTCGGACTTCAGCCGTGATGGGTCGATGCTATGCACGGCCTCTGATGATCGATCTGTTAGAGTCTACGACTGCAAAACCTGGAAGCTGCTCGAAATGTTTGGGCATGGGCTGCCTGCGAAATGTGCGAGCTTCAGCCCGGATGGCCAGACCGTTGCGACGGCTTCCGGTGATGCCTTTGTGAGGATCTTTGATTTGGAATGTGGAGACGAGGCGCTGAGACGCCTTTATCTTGAGGAATGGAACTGTGTGACTAGGTTTTGCTCTGGCAGCCGTGCCCGCAGGTGGCCAAGCTGAAACATGACAGCTGGGTAATCTCTGTCCGCTACAGCCCAGATGGAAAGCTACTTGCAACAGGTGCAGAACTGTGTAGCATTTGCAGTTTTGGCAAGGCAGACTTAGGGAGTCTCTTGTAAGCGTGTTTGATGCTGAGCATGATATGGACAGGCTCTGCAGACAAATGGATCCGCGTCTTCGATGCGACTTCTCCGGTGAAGCTAGTCGTGCACCCAGTGCGGCACTTTTCAGCATGCTTGGCAATCTATCCTGCCAGCAGTTCATCCGGCTGTAGTATGCAGGTCTCGAAGAGGAAATTCATTGGCCTGGTGACTTCTGTGGACTTCAGCCCGGACTCCAGGCAGAGCAGGGCCGAGCAAGCCAGGATTTGGCGCAAGAAGTGCAGGCACATGTAATGACCAGTAAGCATCAACGTTGATAGCAGCACTCTTTCTCTTGAACATATCGCGTATTTAATCATTCAGTTCTTCAAGATATCGGTTTCTTTGTTTCCTTCAGTGTTGCTTTGTTCTGCATCTCCCACCTTTTGTTGCTTTGCCCTTCTTTGCCATGGACTCCGATATGAACTTTTTGGGCGGTAAAAGGCGTTCGGCGGGGCTTGGTTGAGTACTTTGCTGGAGACCTTGCAAAAAATGCAATTTTAGCTTCAGCTATTTTGCTTTGGATGTGAGTCGTGCAGGCTCATCTGTGCAAGCACAACTCGCACAGAAGATCAGACGCAGATCATCGACGTAGAGAGTGGGCGGCGAGAGGTAGCCATTGAGCAAGATGCTCTGACTGTCTCTGCCAGGCCAGCAATTCGCACAGTTTCAGATGATTGTAGCTTCTAAGCCGTTCCGTGCTTAGCCTCTAAACCCTACACAAGGTTCTCTCCTGATGGTGTTGTTTGGCAGCACTATGAGACAACATCAAAACGTGTGAGAATCCCCCAGAGGGGGCTGTGTGTCTTGTCGTGCCACCACTGCCAGCCGAGGAAAGAGTGTGCACAGTATCCGGCGATCATGCGGTCGTCCACGATGTAGCTGGGCCCAATTAATTGCCCTTGATGTTATGAATCAGGTAGCTTCAAGCGGCCAATGCTTCTTGTTCCCGCCATGATCATCAATACAAATTAGTTCAACGATGTGACTGGTCATAGTACTGATGAGTGCTCGAAACATGAACATTGCTATAGAAGACCATGCCTCAGCGCAAAAAGGTGCGCTCTGGCAAGATGCTTCGCTCCTTTGAACACGGCGTTCACCTGAACTATGCCGCCATGCGAAACTTGGCAGCACCTTCCCACACACAGGGGCCATGCAAGGTGGCCCGCTCTATGGCCCACCTAAGCACCTGCGCATCGCAGAAGTCACATGGTCATGTAGACAAGGTGCTGATGGGCTTCTCTGCACGGCAGCGGCGGACGGCGCCGTTCGCTTCTTTGCCGTAGGTGATGGGCCTGCAGGAACCACCCCTTTCCGTGAGATACTTCTAAACAAGCATGAATCGTCAGCTCCTTGACTTTCTTGTGTCACAACGCGTCACATATGCGTAACGGCTTCTCTTTGATTCTTGAAGAATTTTTTTGCGCCCAAACAGTTTTGTCTGGCTTTGCTGTTTTTTCATGCCTCTTACCAGTTTCCTCGCCAAATGCGTTATCATCACCAAAAAGCGTGGTTTTCTGCAGCAAGTCTCTGGCATGCATTGTTGATATGATCGTGTGAGGACCCGATGTGAGCCAACGAATCAATTCCCAAAGTGATTACCTGCACTAACTGAATAACCAATATTTTAAGCTTCGCCCAAAGAGCGGTTTGAAGCGAGCTTTCAAGTGTGGCAATGTGCAGATATGCTGTACAACGGCACACGTGGCGTCCGGTATTGTGGAGCGGCGCCGAAAGACTTTGTGCTTCGCTTGTTTGGCTGCCTGATTCTTTTGACTGAGACCCCAAAGCTGAGGCCGGGATCTGCTCCAGCAGTTCGAGTTTCTAGAGCTCAAGGTGTGCACCCCTGCCAGAGCCAAGCGATCCAAAAGGGAGCCTGGGAACGGTTTGTGCCGGCCAGACGAGCACCTACGAGAACCTGCGTGTTGCCTTTCATGGAGCTGGAGAGCCTGGGTCCTGTCTTCCTTCATAAGCAAGGGCAGCGTCAGGAGTTGACGGATCTAACAAACACGAATCTGCCTGCTTTCCTTTGGCGATCTGAGGCCAGCCCCAGTGTTGCCCACACCGCCTTCACGTCCACCAGAGATGTTCCCGCCTTCGCCAGAGAAGGCACATGCAGGGACTAGGGGGCAGCATTTGGCATTATCATTAGCATCGACGGTTTCCACGTTTACCTGGCCTGTTGCTTGAACGCAAATCTGGTGCAGATGGCTGTGCTCAAGGATCTGGAGGCCAAGATGCTTGAATAAATGCAGGATCTGCTGCCAGGGCTACGGTTCCAGGTCCAGACTTCCCGTGGCCATTTCTTTGTTTCATCGCGTGTGTGAGGAGTTCAATGTTGTGAGTGAATTCGTAAACGGCAACCAAACGAGTACTTGGCAGAAGGAATTGTCAGAATGTCAAGCTGTAAAGGTTTTTCAAGGTGTACATTCTCTTAGCACATCTGGGCCCATACCCTGAATGAGGCCCGAAGCAATTTTACGCGTTGGCACAACCTTTCGCAAGTAAAGTCGACATGTCCAGCAATTGCAGACTACTGGAACTAGTTCGTACTTCCGAGCTCTTGAACTTAGGTCGACTTGCAATTGGTGTGCGCACGTTGCAAGAAACAACAAGCAGTATCAGCGTGAAAGATAAGCGAGTGAGCTGTACTAGGCTAAGGGCCTCAGCGCTGTGCCGGTCGGCCGCCCTGCAGTGCCGCCCGTTGTTCCCAGGCACTGGGTGTTGAAGTTTGCATTGAATTCGAAAATGACCTTGTTGTTGCATGGTTTTGCTCCCACTCTCGGACAGGTTGCACCTGGGTGCTGCCAAGAACGGCGTTGACGTGGACTGTGCCGCCCCGTGGCTCAGATAGTGGGCAGGAGAGGAAGTAGAAGCTATCCCTTCACCTTAAGTGCCACATGCTGTCCCTTTGCGGTAAATCGAGTCGAACACAGTACAGCCTCATGCCTCGAATGAACATCTTGAGGCTACCAACCTGAGCGAGACGCCTTCTATGCACTCCTCAGTGCTACAGCTGCAACTGTTTGCAAGCTAGCAGTATTCTGTAAAGACATACGCAGATTCACTTTGAGTTTTACCAAAGCCAAGGATGAGTCGCTTTGCTCCCCCGCTGCCGGCCCCGCCCCGCCCCTGCCGAAGGATGGTCTAGACTGTTCGTTGGAGTTGTTGTGCTTTGAACCATTCTTGTCCAGCTCACCTGCCTGCAGCTGTCGCATCCCAACTTCTGCTTCTTCAGGACCTAACACAAGTGGTGGGCCTGTTGGCCAGTGACTCCGGCAAGTCTCCTCATTTAGCAGTCACTTCGACGACCAGCAGCATTTGTTCGTCTCTGCATCAAGCACTTTTTCAATTTCGGCGCAGCTGTGCGGCAGCCGTTCACACACCATGCTCTGCATCGAACACAAAGGTTCAGCATGTCTTGCCTTGAGACTGTAGAATACATGCCAGGAAGCCAGTCGTGTGTCACCCTTCACGAGCGCCAGGCAGGGGTGTTCTGGAAGGTGAGTTTAGCTAGCAGTGTCAGCCGGAGGAAGATACAAGTCGGTTGCCTGACGCTGCTTCCTTCCAGGCATGCGTGGAAGCATCCCCCTTGACGAAGCAGAGGACCGTAGCCAAAATTGGTGATAAGCAATCATGACTTCTGAACCTTCATGAACGGCAGGATCCTTCATCAAGCCGTGGTAAGTGAGGAAGGTGAAGAGGCCCCCAGTCAAATCCCAGGCTGTGTCCGTGATAGTCTCAAAACAGAGCTGCTCATCTGCCAGGTGGCTGACCTACCTATGACTCGCTGGGCATCCAGGCCTGACACATTTTTTGTCGCTTAGGAAGAGTCGAGAGAATCAATTAGAATAAGATTCGTTGTTGGGTTTGCGGTTGCGCGCATGGAAGAATACATGGCAGGGGGCAGCGGATCGGCCCTTTAAACCCTGCTTTTGACTTGCCCTAAGTGATTCCAATCTTGCCCCATGTGATGTTTTGCGATTTTTCTGCACATCTAGTCCTGGGTGATTGGTTTTTTAATGCCACTTGGCCGAACTACCTGGTAACCTTAGTGTGACCACCTCAGAAAAGATATGTTAGCTTTTCCGGAACTCCACCATGAGCCAATAATGACGCCGATACAGATTGAAAGATTATGTGCGGCTGCGTGACTGGCAAGTTCAAGGTGCCCCCTGCACCCCCACGGTAGTGTACCTTCTTTTTCACCCCGGGAGTTGGTTACCCGAAAGTAGTATAGCTCCCATGAAAAGCAATTCAATCAGCCATCTCAACAAGATCACGTGTTGTGCCAGAATGTTCAGCTGCATGCATGCGTGCAGTGGTGGGCTATTACTGATTTTCGTGTCCATTTCCCCTATGCACCTGAGTTGCAGGGAATGAAGCCAAAGCGAAACCCTAGGCAGGGTCACAGGCATCCCAAGAAATGAGCCCAAAACGAAACCCTCAGTAGAGTCCCTGGGCGCCAAGAAGTGACCCCCAGCTTAAACCCTAAGTAGGGTCATAATATTTACAGGGGTCTAAGGCAATGAGACCGAACCGAAGCCGTAGCCAGAACCACAGGGGTCCCAAGTAGTCACCGCAAATTGAAGCCATGACCAATATCAGTCGTCCCCAGTGCCTTCCTTTTGCGTCCCAAGTGATTCTGTTTTTCTCGCCCCAAGTGATTTCTGATCCGGCCCGACATGTGTCTTGGCCTTGTCCTGTAGACTGCGAGCCTTGTGTAGCTTTGAAGCTCTTGTCCTTCCTTTCCCAGGCCTATAATCCCGCTTAAGTAGATAGAATATGGCTTTGGGTATATTACAGTATGATCCCCATATACCCCATATTCTATCTACTTAAGGGGGACTATAAGTTTCTGGATGTCAGGCCAACCCCCAACTCCTCGAGCCCGGCTGTGGACCCTCGAGGGGTTCAAGTTGGCAGAAGTTCCATCCTCAGGACAGCGTTAATGACCACGGTGATGATGTTGAGGTTGTTGCATCTTGACAGAACAATTTGGGGATGCACCCCTATTATGCCTGATTCGGACAGGTTTCTTTTGTGCCAAATCCAACAGAGTCTCTCAATCCTGCTTGACATCGATGCCTTGGTCACAACGATATTTGAACAGCACTTGAACAGCACCTGGCTGGCTTTGCAACAGACTATTTCGATACACTGGCTTGTGCCTGCAACTGATCATTTGCTCAGGTGCTTCATCGCCTAACCCGGCGTCGCCTTCAAAGCAGGATGCTGCTGCTGCGGCTGCTGCTCGATCTCCTCCAGCAGCTCGCTCAGCTTGGCTGCAGAGAAGCTGCACGCTGGTCAGGGGCAGGTTGTTGTGTTGCCTTCAACATTCGGGAAGGATCTGCGGGACATTGTGGGGGTGTGGCAGACCTCAAAGTTTCGGCACCAGGTAGACTCATTGGTCGTTGCGCTCGCTGCAGCCATTTCAGATTCGGACTATCAGCCACTACACATGTAATCTGCACCACCCTTGGTCTTTTCTGCAGCCATTTTGGACTGGGCATATGCGAGCCTCAGTAGCCGTAAATTTCGAACTTGACATGCATCTCATCTAATCATCTAATCTACAGTGCTTGGATATTTTTTAGCCGCTTTCTTCGTGGAAGGCCTATCCAGGGTGTTCGAGGTCATGCTTGCGTGGCCACTTGGGCTTGTGGCCCTTGTGGCCCTTGTACTGC